AACTAGACTAATGAACAATGCCTAAGGAGTCTTTTTTTACTGTCTGTCCGTCTAACGCAGTTCCATTACTGGCAACGCCACATTTTCTGCATCATAGCTGCTCTGTACAAAGAGGGAGTTCAAAGGTATTTATCTATATTTCCCTAATAAAACCTGACCTGACCTGATCTTTCATATAAGAGCCCCGTCATTACGCAATATGAAATCTATTGTATTTCAAGTGGCGGGATTATGACGAACGTTATTAATAAAGAAGTATTTGGACGTGAGTAGTCAGTCTGTATGTCAGTATTATTTGTGGAATAATTATCGCGTCTAATAAGGGGTGATTGCTTATGGGGTTAAACATATCTGGGGAAGCCGTTGACATGTTCTATAATGCTCGTCAGGCAATTTGCTTGACACACATTTTAATACGATTGCTTATCCAACATAAGTTACGTAGGCCACCGCTACCTCATGAGATGGACAAAATGATGCTGAATTGTTCGTGGGATTTGACACTGAATCGGACAGACGGTGCACCTAGCTCAATATAACTTACCACAGTCATCAATCTGACTGGCAATGATGCCACCAAATGACAAAATTAAACAACACTTCTACCCAACCCACGCATGACCTGGTTCCCGCTACATATTTACCACACCAAAATAAGTGATCATCTCATGTTTAATCGCGAAAATTTTATAAAAGGCCACATCGAGGAGACATTGTTACCTAAAACTGAAATCCTCGGAGGGCTGAATAATTTCGTAAGTTAGCCACTTTCAAACCGTAACGCTTAGCGCGTCAGGGTTTGTGTCGTGTACATTGCACATGGCCAAGAAATGCAGACATGAATAGTGAATAGTATGTAGTTGCGAATGTTCCAAACCTAACGCATATCTTCTCCACACGCAAAAACCTTAGTCATATGCTCATTATGCTACCCTGTGTCACACGCACACTAGTGAAATTAGGTCGTAGACTAAAATACTTATCTTTGAAAGACAAAGGAAAAAAATCTGACAAAACTAGAAAACAGCGATACACTGCGGTGGATACAGCGGCGATTCCAGACCAGAAGACCACTCCAATCGCAAATAAGGCGTTATACCTTCATGATACTTGTTTATCTCTAAAAGTATGAGTCAGCAAGCATAATTAATCCACAAATCTGCGACCCAGCTGCGTCGCATCGGCTGGCAAGGACTTATGTCAAGTCATCCAAGAACCGTCTGCCAGCGATGCAAAATGGCTATAAAAGCCACCTTAGATCTTGTTACTTTGTGCAGATAAAATAATCAGCACCAAGAAGGCGAGTGAGCTAACTTTAGGCATAAATTCCGCCAAGTTGTTGGAATCAACAAAACACAGGTAGTTTTTAGTGATTTGAAGGTATTTTTAGTGGTATGTACAAAAATAAAAGAAATACACAACAATTTAAGTATACAAATTTCTGAGGCTGATAGTCAGACAATTTTAGGCAGAATGGCCGCAAATGTCCACAAAATTGATCGGTCGACATATTCTGGCCGAGGCCGTTGGCGTGAGGGCCTGGCCGTCAACATAGACCTGCGGAGGATAAAGCATCAATGGATGAGATACCGGGCAGTTATACAGCAGAGGTGAACTAGGGTAATATCACTTCCCACTTTTCAAGTAAAACGCTCTATCTAGCTGTCTAACGGCGGCTAACAGGCTAGAAATGGTCATCCCATCCTCCCTAGACTTTGTAAGGACTCCCCTTCTGCATATTTCAGTCCAGTTTTATTAAGGGAAAGACAGACAAACGCCCTTGAGTTCCCTTTGGTAACACAGTGGTTGAGAAATACATCGATACAGCAGATTTTTTTAAAAAATACGTCGTTTACATAACTGCAGTCGAAAAGCGAGCAGTCGTCGGTTAGTCAGAAACAGTAAATAGACGAATATTCACTTATAGCGAGTAGTATAACAAAACGTGGAATTATTTCTTCGGCTTATTGGCGATGCCAAACGACTCTCTACGGGGCCGCGTAACTCGACTGCAACTAGCAAGACTATGAGACCGTTACCCAATGGTAGAGAGCCCAACTCTAAAAGGGTCAGTCACCGAAGAATTCTGGCTCGAATCTAATGTCGTGCAAATGCGGGATTGGGTATGGCAGACTGAAGACAGCTAATATGTAATAACGGGCTACACCAATCTTCCGTGTCTAAAACTGTACTACTTTGTGTATAACTTAGATTGAACACCGTAGATAGCATTAGGGAAGTGCGGAATCGACATACTTAAGTAGGAAGCTATAGGGCTACAAAAATGCCAAACTTAAGTCAAAATCGGAAAGAAACAGGGAATGTTTAAGCGGTTTGGCAGATTTCAATAATTCGATTGGCCCAATTGTGAAAAACTCGCGGCCTCGGTGGGAGTCGAACCCACACAGCAGGAGAGGCTTCTGCGCAGCCAACGCTCTACCATTTGAACTACGAGGCCCACAGTTCGCCGTGAAATTAATCACACTTGGGTCGATTTGTTTGCCCACTTTTAGTGCACGTATAGAATCCACCAATACGGACGCATTAAACTGATTGTCATACGTGCAGTAAAGCTGGACAGGCAAATCGACCCAAACGTGGTTAAATTTACGGCGCACGGTGAGCCTCGTAGCTAAAAGGATGGTGAATGTATGCATTTCTTCCGTTTGACATATCAGCTGCAGTAAATCCATGCTAGCCAACGTACAACAGACTGAATTCTCCTCACCAAAATGCAAGATTCTTTTGTCCTTAATCTTACCTACAAAAAGATTATTAACAGTATGCGAGATCATCTGAGGTAATGGGTAACACTGTCGGTTTGACAGCCAATGTTATTCGCATTCGACGAAAGAACTATATTTGGCCTTTTAGGAAGTAATTCGGATGCGAGAATAACCGAGAAGAAACTGCATGCATCCGAATTTTATCGCATGAAACAAAGTCGGTTCTGAGAGCTAGGTGGGGCAATTGCAAATGGAACCCTCCTACCCCTTTAAAACAGGTGGCGTTGCGCCCAATTTCAGGGTCATTAGGGTCTGTTAGGGATGAAGGTGAGGTTAAGGGCGGAGCTCAGTTTAGAGGTACAGTTTAGGGCCCAAACACGTGAATATTAACACCGCTCGGAATTCGCTGCAAGAACAGCTGTATTGATGGAGTGGCTTCCTAGTCCCATGCCTTACGGAG